TTTATATGGGCCAGTGTCCACAATGACACAGCTAGTTGATATGGGCAGTGACCAAACAATGCTGTATTAACTAAGCATGTGCAGTACTGATAAGAGGCCCTCATCCACCCTGCAAGGGAGATGCAAAAAGAGGGATAGTTGCATCCCCGCCACCCATTCTGTTGAACCAAACCTTAGCTGTAGGTGGGTGTAAACCATACACTTGCCACTAAGCTATATGACAGCACATCCGTCGTTGAGGCCAGAATGAACACTATAGTAAACTGCTACTGGTAAATAGAAGAAGGCTTGGACAGGAAAAACACAAAAATTCATGAGGCTTCCTGAACCAAAAAATAGCGAGTAAGAAACACTCCTTCTAAGTCTAGCCATTGCCTCTGGAAACAAAATACAAGTTCACCCTTGCCAACCATCACACTGGCGGAACCCCTTCTTCCTACCATGTTGTGGCTGGCAGTTCTGAAAGCTGCATAGTGGAAGTGTTTGGTAAGGATGGAAACTTGCCCCTGTCTCCAGAAACAGCTTAGCTAGAGGCAATTTTAGGCTGAACTCCAGGCAACAGATGATTTAAATACATGGGAGCTGATTTATGTCAAAGGACATATTCATGTGCATGCAGTAACTGGCTCCTTGTGCTGCTTCTTCCTCCACATCTCTGAGCTCAGCTGTACAGGATTTGTAATCTGCTGATGCCAAGCCAAATTCAGGCAATTACATGGCTTGCATTGGAAAATAAAACATTAAAATGATGTATTCATGATGACAGAGCCGCATTAATTGGAATCTTTTATATCTGCCTGGAGTTCAGCTTTAAGCCTACAGCTGGCTGCAGAAACAATGTAACGATTGGGTCTTGTGAAAAAAGAATTTTTAGCCTTATAATCCCATGTTTGGTATTACCTGATGAAAACCCATTTGTAAAGCTACAGGGTTTTTTTTTTCCTTCTCTCATTGTGTGGTGCCTGCACCCATTGGCTACCTGGGTGATGCACATACCACCTCCTATACTGAACTACAGGTACAAGAAGATGGAATTTTAAGAATTGAGGGTGTAGATAGAGAAAAAATACACCTACACCCCCCCCCCCCCCCCCCCCCAAAAAAAACGGACATCAAGTTGCCAGCTCCAGCCCTCTATTTCCCCTGCCCATTGATCTGCACAGGTCCACAGTTAGATGTCTAGGGCCATTTTGCCAAAAATAGGGCCTGTAGAGAACACTGGGTAGATGGCAGTAGCTACATACAAGATGTAGACCTGTTCTGGGCAAAAAGCGAATCAATGCTACTGACTCCATTACATCCTCCTAACCCCGATCTCTACTTCCACCTTTAACAGAGGTTCTATGATAGAAGTGGGCAACTCTGGCCCTCCAGCTGTGCTTTAACTGCAAATTCCATTTAGCCTCGGCCTCTGGGAGTCATGTCTGTGGCTGTTAGCCTTGCAATGCCTCATGGGACTTGTAGTTGTACAACAGCTGGAGGGCCAGAGTTGCCCACCCCTGTTAAGCAGACCCAAATATTAACCTCATAACAGGTCTGGATCTATGACATGTTTGCGCCTTAAATATACCCAATGGTGCCAACTTATGGAACAAAGAAAACTGTAAAGGGAATTTTTTGTCCTCAACAACCCGATTTCAATCTTCCCTTCAAATAAAATTCTAATTGGTTGGACAACAGCTCCAGTAAACTGGCCTGAAAAACCACACAGGCACTGCCAGCACGCAGTCCCCTACTGGGAAGTCACGACACAATAACCGCACTGAACAACCCCCATCTATACCTACCCGTTATCCGTACCCCACAAAGTTGCCTTGCTGATTGAGGTTCCCTTTTAGTGATAGGTCAATCAGTCAAAGTTAACAGCACAATACACAGCGTATGGCTATGTTTTCGTTTTTTGGTTGACACCTGAACCTGTATCTGTATCCAAGTTTACAATTCAGGTTCGCAGCTTGAGGCAAACCCCACATAGGTTCAATTTAAAATTCTCCATAGAATATTGGTGAATAACACAATAAAAAAAACACAAAGTAAAATTTTTACTTAACTTGATTGCTGATGGGATGCAGAGATAGTTGTCTCAGTCTCTTCCCAATCCAGTCCTTAGTAGGGTTTGTGGCCTACAGCCATCTTGCACTGCAGGCCGCTGAGTTTCAATGCTCATAATGCTGGCCCATTTTCCATCTCGGAGCTCCAATCAGGACAGTTGTGAGCTGGTTAGTCTAATGACTCATCAACTTCTCAGTGCACTGTACCGTTCTCCAACTTCTCAGTGCACTGTACAGTTCACCAACTTCTCAGTGCACTGAACCATCTAAATTTAGAAGGCACTCCAGAAGCTCAACGGCTTAGTCCATCATCTGTCCAAGTCTTGCAATGCCTCATGGGACTCGTAGTTCCAGAGCAGCTTGATGGCCAAGGTCGCCTACACAACAGCTGGGTGGCCATGGTCGCCTACACAACAGCTGGGTGGCCATGGTTGCCTACACAACGGCTGGTTGGCCATGGTCGCCTACACAACAGCTGGGTGGCCATGGTCGCCTACACAACAGCTGGATGACCAAGGTCGCCTACACAACAGCTGGATGGCAATGGTCGCCTACACAACAGCTGTATGGCCATGGTCGCCTACACAACAGCTGTATGGCAATGGTTGCCTACACAACAGCTGTATGGCCATGGTCGCCTACACAACAGCTGGATGGCAATGGTTGCCTACACAACAGCTGGATGACCATGGTTGCCTACTCAACAGCTGGATGGCAATGGTCGCCTACACAACAGCTGGATAGCCATGGTTGCCTACACAACAGCTGGATGGCCATGGTCGCCTACACAACAGCTGGATGCCATGGTCGCCTACACATATGGGTGTAACATGAAACGTTATCAAAAAGATGAACTTATCCTTTAATATAACCCTGAACCTCTGTGTTCAGTTTCTCTGTAAATTCTATTCCTGGCTGTAGTGCAGTCCAATCTCATTACTCGGTATGAAAACTAAATATTAATGTAGCATTACAATTATATAAATATATATATAAATCTTTTATAAATGAGCCAGACCTACAGTACTCCTCATACTACTCCATGAGGCACTGAGTACACTGGCCTGTCCAAGCTATTTAAGATTACTTTGACTCATACGACAGCCATCTTGGATTCCAAAGCAGACAGGGTCACGTGGCCACTTGTGCCAAACACACAGCACTTTTAACATGTACAAAGAAACAAAAAAAAAAATTTATTTATTAATCACAGACAAAACTATTCAAACGTTATTTAGAGAGCAATATATAACAAGGAAAAGAGATCGATATCCAAAATATATTATTTTATTTATAAAATATGCGCGAGGAGGCTTTGGGAAAATGGACACAAAACGATTCCACAAAACTAGGCCACATGAATGCTTAAAAAGTGCCAAAATACAAAGACGAGCTGAACCTCTGAACAGGTCGAATGGGATAAAATCTTTGCAAAAGAATATTTATTTTCTATGAATATGATTGTGTTGTACCATGGTGGTTATTTTTTATTAACAGGTCATTTTCTGTTTGTTCAGGACGAGGGCAAAGGGCGTTGTACAATGGGACAATGGTTGCTTTAAGAGTAAATAAATCGACATGCTGTACAAATATATGGCTTCCTGTGTCAGTTCAGAACTTTATTTTTTCCCAAAACTTTTAATATGTCAAACTATAAGCCCTCGTTCACACCTGAACGTTTTGTAGCGCGTTCTACGCTCGACGAACGCTCTACAAAACGCTCAAACATCTAAATCCCATTGTATTCAATGGTCTCGTTCCCACCTTGACGTATTTCCGCCCGTCCCTAACACGCTTCAAAACGGCCCACGCCTGAAAAGGTACAGGTACTACTTTGGGCCGTTTTGTTGCGCGTTTCCATTGGGATACAGCCAAGTAGCCTTCGGAAACGCACGTTTGTCACGCAACTTTTTTTTACCGCGAATCGCGGTAAAAAAACGCATATGCAATACGCCTAGGTGTGAACAAGACCTAAAGGGATGTGAGGATTTGTGATTACAGTGTTGGAATCTGGAGCACTGTGGGTAAGCTGTTCTCTTGCCCCCCTGCCACTGAGGATGTACATGCAGTAAGATCTTGATTGGCTGATTCAACTATTTAACCAACAACCATTATATGTATCTGAGGGTTGGGAGT